ATCTAATCTAATAATCTAACTAATCTTCCAGAAAAATAAAATAATGAAATTATAAAGATCATAAAAAAGATCAAAGTGTTTTAAAAAATGGATGAAAGACAATTACAAATAATATACAACTCAAAATAAATTTGATGTAAACTGTACATTGATTTAAATGTATTGTAGTTATTTTGATACAATACAGTGAAACATACCTAAATGCAATGGCAAAGCAAAACAATGAAATTGGCGGATATGGAGTAGCTAGAACTAATCTAATGATGCTTTTTTATTGTATCATGTTTAACAATGACCAGTGTCTCCCCCTTTTCACTGTTTAAATACAAAACTGTATTGCCTTTGGCCACTAGGTGACAGTGTTGACTGTGATACAGAGAGTATTTGATCCAAGCAGAACTGCTCAGGGCTCTAACACACTAAAACAAGTCCCAAGATCCTACTGGACTTCACAACTTGTTTCTGAATAAAGGTTGTGAAGAAAACAAAAGAGAAAGACAAAAGAGAAGGACAAATACACAAAATGAATAAGTGTGTTGTGTACAGACATTTATTGTTAACAGTAAGTGCAGCCAATCAAAAGGTGCTTTTGGAGTTCAGCAGAATGGAAATGCCAAAAGATAGATGTAAGTACAAATAGAACTCCAACACCCAAATCTAGAGTGGAATGCTCTTTTCATCTATCTTGGGTATGTCCTCTTTAGTTTGAAGTGGTCATTTAGCCCCGGGGAGCCTTTTGAGCCATTTTAAACTGTCACAAAGAATAAGTGTGAATCAATTCAGTACTAGCAGGTGTTCCAAGTAAACTCAAAACTCAACTAAACAAAATCATACACACATATACAAAATCATACACACATATTGACAAACTGTATCTAAACTAACCAGATGTCTGTAAGTCCACGAGATACACATACAAGCATACAGTACAGGCCAAAAGTTTGGACACACCTTCTCATTCAATGCGTTTTCTTTATTTTCATGACTATTTACATTGTAGATTCTCACTGAAGGCATCAAAACTATGAATGAACACATGTGGAGTTATGTACTTAACAAAAAAAGGTGAAATAACTGAAAACATGTTTTATATTCAAGTTTCTTCAAAATAGCCACCCTTTGCTCTGATTACTGCTTTGCACACTCTTGGCATTCTCTCGATGAGCTTCAAGAGGTAGTCACCTGAAATGGTTTCCACTTCACAGGTGTGCCTTATCAGGGTTAATTAGTGGAATTTCTTGCTTTATCAATGGGGTTGGGACCATCAGTTGTGTTGTGCAGAAGTCAGGTTAATACACAGCCGACAGTCCTATTGGACAACTGTTAAAATTCATATTATGGCAAGAACCAATCAGCTAACTATAGAAAAACGAGTGGCCATCATTACTTTAAGAAATGAAGGTCAGTCAGTCCGGAAAATTGCAAAAACTTTAAATGTGTCCCCAAGTGGAGTCGCAAAAACCATCAAGCGCTACAACGAAACTGGCACACATGAGGACCGACCCAGGAAAGGAAGACCAAGAGTCACCTCTGCTTCTGAGGATAAGTTCATCCGAGTCACCAGCCTCAGAAATGGCAAGTTAACAGCAGCTCAGATCAGAGACCAGATGAATGCCACACAGAGTTCTAGCAGCAGACCCATCTCTAGAACAACTGTTAAGAAGAGACTGCGCAAATCAGGCCTTCATGGTCAAATAGCTGCTAGGAAACCACTGCTAAGGAGAGGCAACAAGCAGAAGAGATTTGTTTGGGCCAAGAAACACAAGGAATGGACATTAGACCAGTGGAAATCTGTGCTTTGGTCTGATGAGTCCAAATTTGAGATCTTTGGTTCCAAGCGCCGTGTCTTTGTGAGACGCAGAAAAGGTGAACGGATGGATTCCACATGCCTGGTTGCCACTGTGAAGCATGGAGGAGGAGGTGTGATGGTGTGGGGGTGTTTTGCTGGTGACACTGTTGGGGATTTATTCAAAATTGAAGGCACACTGAACCAGCATGGCTACCACAGCATCCTGTAGCGACATGCCATCCCATCCGGTTTGCGTTTAGTTGGACGATCATTTATTTTTCAACAGGACAATGACCCCAAACACACCTCCAGGCTGTGTAAGGGCTATTTGACCAAGAAGGAGAGTGATGGAGTGCTGCAGCAGATGACCTGGCCTCCACAGTCACCGGACCTGAACCCAATCGAGATGGTTTGGGGTGAGCTGGACCGCAGAGTGAAGGCAAAGGGGCCAACAAGTGCTAAACACCTCTGGGAACTCCTTCAAGACTGTTGGAAAACCATTTCAGGTGACTACCTCTTGAAGCTCATGGAGAGAATGCCAAGAGTGTGCAAAGCAGTAATCAGAGCAAAGGGTGGCTATTTTGAAGAAACTAGAATATAAAACATGTTTTCAGTTATTTCACCTTTTTTTGTTAAGTACATAACTCCACATGTGTTCATTCATAGTTTTGATGCCTTCAGTGAGAATCTACAATGTAAATAGTCATGAAAATAAAGAAAACGCATTGAATGAGAAGGTGTGTCCAAACTTTTGGCCTGTACTGTACATAGTTACATATATACATAAATGTATGTTAATATGACATAAGGGGGAGTAAAAATCTGGGAAAGTTGTGGAATACTCAAAAAACATCTGGAACATTCCACAGTTGAACAGGTGATAAGGGTCATAATTTGGTATTAAAGGGGCTTCCTCAAAAGGCTTAGTTGTTCACAAGCAAGGACAACGCAAGGTTTAAAACCTGGTAAGAAACTGCGTGGGCAAACACGGATAACAACGGATAAAGAATAATGTTTCTCAATGCGCCATTGCAAGGAATTTATGGATTTTGTCATCTGCAATCCATAATATCATAAAAATATACAGGGAATACAGAAAAACCTTAGTGTTGTCAGTAAACACAGTTTGTTGCTGCATCTACAAATGCATGTTAAGACTCTAGCATGCAAAGTGAAAGCCAGATATCAACAACATACAGAAACACTTCCGACTTCTCTGGGTCTGAGCTCATCAGAGATGAGATGGATTGACACAAAGTGAAAAAATGTTTTGTGATCAGTCAATCAATCAATCAATCAATTTTATTTATCAAGCCCAATATCACAAATCCCAATTTGCCTCAGAGGACTTTACAGCATACGACATCCCTCTGTCCTTTGGACCCTCACAGCAGATAAGGAAAAACTCCCCCAAAAAACCCTTTAACAGGGAGAAACAAAAAGGTAGAAACCTCAGGAAGAGCAACTGAGGAGGGATCCCTCGTCCAGGACGGACAGACGTGCAATAGATGTCGTACAGAACAGATCAACATAACACATTTGCAGTAATCCATATGACAAAATGATACATAAAGAGAGACAGAGAGAAAAATTGAGACAGAAAGAGACCGAGAGACTGAGCCAGAGAGAGATGCAGGGCAGACAGTAATG